TTTTTTTTTTTTTTTTAATTCTTTTTTAATTCATTTTTTAATTCTCAACAAAAAGAGAGAGGTAAAAGTCAGCGTATGCCTCGGAAAACTGCAGGAAACTTCCCAACAACAGAAAAGAATGAACAGAAAACAGATTGAAAGAACACAGCCACGACTGAAATGCGGTCCCAGTTATCAGAATCATTCTCTACACACACCGGTGCATGTGCTCTCATTGTTCCCTTCTTTTCTCATCGTGTAATCAGATTAATTCGGATCAAGAAACCAGCGTCTATCCTATCGATTCTCTTTGAACTACGTTTCCAACCGAAACGCCGGTTTCGATTATTCAACACAATCGAATAAACGTAAACAAAAGTGCGAGCACACGTTAAATCAGAGTAAGGAAAGAATTACTTATCGAATACGAAACGAAATCAACTGGTTCAACGGAAAACTTAGCACTGACACATAGATAGTCGTTTTTTTATATATATACACACACACACACACTTTCATTCAAAAATCTTAAAACAGATTTTGATTTTAATATTAAAAAAGTTTCCTAATTGCGTTGTGCATTTCGTAACATGACTGTGCCGTTCATTTGTCAAAAATAGATTATAGATAACTCAAACTAACAGAGAAAAATAGAGAAATTGGTAAAGTATGATCTGCACATATTTTTTTTTTAAAATTCAAACTCAAATAAACATTGTAAGTTTTATCTAACGATATACAAAATGCATAAAATAGTATTTGCTTGAAACAATCTCGCATTGGCATCTGAAATAAATCACTTATCATTCAAAATTCCTCTCATTCACTGGTGTTAAACCTAATTTTTAAGGGAATTCATTCTAAATGTAAACATCAGTCAGGAATTTCAGTTAATTAAAATTTAAAAGAATCCGAAGAAGTTAACTTTTGTTCGTCGCATTGACCTCTGTTAGAACTTACTTAAAATCTTTCACAATTAAACGCAAACAAAATGAACGATCAATGTGATCACTCGGAGGAATAAAATTCAGAGCGTACGAAAATAATTAATTGAATTTAACTTAAACCTGCGAAAATGATCAAGGATTTCGAATCAATCGACACCGATCCCGAAAGGTTGATCACTTTGATCTGTAATTCATTAGCACTTTGCTACAGTTGCATAATTAAAATTTCGAAACAAATACAAATACTTGTGCCGAGACTTTTGAAAGCGGAGGCGTACCGACCTGCACGAAGTGCTGGACACTCTCCAACAGCATGCCGTACATTGTTCCTGCTGTTCCCGAGATCTTACTTCCACCAAGTGACGTACGCATTCATGAGGAATAGGCTCGGCGAGGTCAGAATTGAGGAAACGTCGATCTTCCGCGATTTCCGTGAGACGGTGATTCCCGAGAACGCGAAACGATTCGTTCGCATGGTCGCGGTGAAACGCGTCGCACCGCTTGCCTTCCAGTCAAGTGGTGTTTCGCGCCATTATCACGCCGTTTCCCATTGTCGACGAGAGTGAACACTGAGAGACTGGCCCGGTTCGGCGGCGCGCTTAACTTTGAGTTTCAGTATCGGTGCCGCCGGGGGTTACTCGCAATCCGGGAAGGGTGGTTCGCATTCACTGCGTGCGCAGCACGTTGCCACTTTCGCTTGATTCCTTTTCGAACACCTGTTCGCCTATAATTTCTACTTCTCGTGGAACAACAAAGTGCCGAATTCTATGTATGTATGAGAGATTTGAGAATGTCGGTATATAATAGACGAAGAAACATCTAAAGCAGAGTACTTGGTGCAATTTTTAATAAATGAAAGACATCTCTATTTGTCTTTCAATATTTCGGAATATAATTTTTACTTCTCGTGGAAATTCTGAGAAATGTGAACAACAAAGTGTTACAAGAGTACTTTATGTATTTATGAGAAATTTGAGAATGCGAGTAATAATGTGAAGGAATATGAAATCTAAATATCTAAAGTAGAGTATTTGGTAAAAAAATTTTTTCTAATAAATAAAAGACGTCTCTATTCGTCTTCCGATATTTTTGTTTCTCCTGAAAATTCGGAGAAACAGAGTGTGGATTTTTCATTCACTTGTGAGAAATTTGAGAATGTATATAATATGCAAAGAAATATAAAACATCTAAAGCAGAGCTTGGTGCAATTTTTAATAAATGAAAGACATCTCTATTTGTCTTTCAATATTTCGGAATATAATTTTTACTTCTCGTGGAAATTCTGAGAAATGTGAGCAACAAAGTGTTACAAGAGCTTTATATATTTATGAGAAATTTAAGAATGCGGGTAATAATGTGAAGGAATATGAAATCTAAATATCTAAAGTAGAGTATTTGGTAAAAAAATTTTTTCTAATAAATAAAAGACGTCTCTATTCGTCTTCCGATATTTTTGTTTCTCCTGAAAATTCTGAGAAACAGAGTATGGATTTTTCGTGCGTTTTTCACTTGTGAAAAATTTGAAAATATATATAATATGCAAAGAAATGTAAAACTCTAAAGTAGAGTATTTGGTGCAATTTTTAATAAATAAAAGACATCTCTACTCGTCTTCCGATATTCGGGGATTTTTCTTTCTTGTGGAAATTCTGAGAAATGTGATCAGAGTGTGGATTTTTATGTTCATTTTTGAGAATGCAATAATATCTAAAGTAGAATATTTGGCGTGATTTTTAATAAATAAAGGACATTTCTGTTTAAGGTTTATCTCTCTGGTTACATCCATGAAAACAATAATTTCTATAAAAATTCGCACTGAAACTTTAATTTCTCACATTCTAGTATTCTTATTATTAAACTTCCAGAAAGTAAAGGGTGCTTTAATCTTTTGAATAGTAGTGTACATATCAAACTGATTTGCTTTTTCTGCTGTCAAGATAATACGTAAAATGTAGAAGACAAGAGTATGAATGTGGTCCTTCGAAGCTCCAAAGAATTTTAAATTTAATGTTAATTTAAATGTCAGCCACAGATTTCAAAAAAGAATAACACAACAAAGCTCCCATATATCCAAGAGAAAACTCTCTTTGCGATCAAATGTAGAGTTTTGAACATTTTGAACATCTCAAGGTATATATATATATATCGAGATATCAATTTGAATATTGTACTAATTAGAACTTGGTAAAATTGATATCTTAATTATATACCAAGGAGAAATTTGTCGAATAATTTTTCACCTGTGAAGATACTTTTCAAGGTAAGGCAATTGAAGGCGAGAATCTAAATAAAAACGTTTAGATGAAATTATTATTTTTATCAACGATTGAGTTCGAAGTTACCAAAAATGGCAAGATTTAAAGCAATGCTTCTGTCAATAAATGAATTATTAAAAAATATGATGGATATTATTTATACGTAAATTGACCTTTCTTTTCCATCGGAGATATGTAAAATATGAGAAATAAGATCCGACTGAAATTGTAAATTTTGAAATTCAAAGCATTTTAATTTAACATGAGAGACATCTGATGTTTCGAGGTGAGTTTCAGTTTGGTGAAAATGGAAGAAAGTTCGTTTGTTTGAACAATTTATCTGACAAAGAGAAAACTCCTAACAAATACGATTGATTTAAACTTCTTCGTCGTAGATAATTTACGCGTTACATTTAATTAACGAAATTAATCAAAATTTATATATATGAAGGGAAATAATAATTTTGAAAAACGTCTCGAAGAGTAGGTACGTATGAGCACATATAAAAGCAAATATACGTCAATCAAATTTTTCTTATATAAAGGTATTATGTCGCAAGAAGTAAAAGGCGAAATAGCGATTAAAACGTAGTGTTTGAAGTTTGAAACTTTTAAGCATAGCAGATGGAAGTATATATGTATAGTTTCAACTAAGAAAGTAAGTTCAAAGTTAGTGAGATTAGAGGAAAGTTGGCTTGTCCGGACAAAGGTGTGTCTTATGTATTAGGAATTTCTGTTCTTATGTATTAGGAAATTCTGTTCTCTATCCTTTCCAGAGACTTAATATGATTCTTATATATGCCAATTGTAGTCTCTCGTGTAGTCTGATGTGTAGTGGCC